CATTCGCGAAGGGTTAATGAGAAGAGCAGTCAAGTTGTTCTTCACGTTCGCGATGTAGGTCCGCGTTCGCGAAGGTGTATGAGTTTAAGGCTACGCGTTCCCGACCTGGGTCTCACGTTCGCGTAGAGTCTACGGTCATGTGGAGTTCAGGCAATTAAGCCTACTCGTTCGCGATTGGTGTTCCGCGTTCGCGTAGGGTCGAGCTGTGTGGTCATGCGTTCGCGGGTGGGCCCTCCCGTTCGTGAAGGAGAGAATTTTGGTCAGTGAAGCTTTGTGCTCCGCGAACGCAAGGGTGCTGCCGTGTTCACGATGAAGAAAATGTCTAGGCAGTCAGATTTTATTTGGAAATCGAGGGTTTAAGTCCAATATCACAAAAACCATTAGAGAGCTCGGGAGAAGGTGAAATTTGAGGAGATTTTCAGTGGAGCTATTGGGATAAGTATTCTTCTCTCATATTTGGTTTAATTCTATGATTTAGTCTTGAATTTCATCATTTAATTTGAGAAATTAGAGTGGAAATTGGGGGAAAATGGAAGAAAACTTTGAGAATTCTTTTAGGGATTTGAATGGGCATTTGATGTCGGATTTTGATGATTTTGGTATGTATAGACTCGTGAGAGGATAAGGATTTTATTGATGTAATTTTTATCGGATTCCAAGACGTGGGCCCGGGGGGTCGGGTTTGGCCAATTTTCGGATTTCTTATGTAAATTGGTTATTTTCGAGTGAGCCTTGTTCCCTTAGCATATTTTGATGGTATAAATCTGTATTTGGTTAGATTTGGAGCATTTGGAGTTCGAGTCGAGAGGCAAGGGTATCGCGGGCTAGAGTTTGGACCGGATTAAGGTAAGTAATGATTGTAAATGGTTGTCCTGAGGGTATGAAATCCCAGATTTTACATCGTTGTGCTAACTTGAGGTGACGCACACGCTAGGTGACGAGTGTGGGGTCGTGCACCGTTGGAGATTGTGACTTAGTCCGTCCCGTATGACTATTAAACTGCGTATTTGATTGAAAACTGTTTGCTATCATTGTGTTTTGGAAAATATTATCATGTTTTGGGTTGAATGCCATGTTTGGGCCTCGTGCCAACAGTTTTGGACCCTTAGGGGATTTTTACTACTATTCCTTACTGTTTTGACTTCATATTTGTACTTAGTCATGCTGTATTCTACTGTTTTCATAACTCAACAATATTTACTCTGTTTTTGATATTTTAAATAATATTTTGGGCTGAGTATCATGTTTTACTGTTGCCCGAGTGACTTGAGAGATTTCTGACTGAGCGAGGCCGAGGGCCTGTGTTGTGAGGATACTATGGGATCGGGCTGCGCGCTGCAGCAGTGGTGTACTGATTCATGATTATGAGGTTGGGGGCCTGATTTGTTAATCCACGAGGTGGCTTGATATGAGGCCGAGAGCCTGTTTGATTATGCCATGAGATGGCTTGTTATTGCGCTTGGGCTGTAAGGAGCCCCCCCGGAGTCTGTACACCCCCAGTGAGCGTGGGTACCCAGTGTGAGTGATATAATGTAGCCCGAAGGGATGTTGCTGTTTCATATTGTTGCCCGATGGGCTGTTCTTGATCCATGTCTTGCTCGAGGGGCTGATTCTGTTGATATTATGCCCGAGGGGCTGTTTACGTTTCTATCATGTTTACTCACTATTTTATCACTCGTTTGAAACTATTGAAAATTGTTTTAAAAGGTTTTACCGAAACTGATCATGATTTTTACAAAGTAAATGATTTCTGTACTGTGTTGGAAATGTCCTGCATTTGTTGTAGCATTTTGACATGGTTTACGTGTTTTCTTACTGCTCAGCTTTCATTTACTTTTATTACTTACTGAGTTGGTGTACTCACATTACTCCCTGCACCTTGTGTGCAGATTCAGGTATTTCTGAACCCGGTAGCGGGTGTTGATTGCTCAGTATCAGAATCATCAGAGTTAGCAAGGTAGCTGCCGACGTTCGCAGCACTGCCTTTCTCCCTCTTGTCTTCCTTAGGCTGTATTTAGTATATTTTTAGACTCTTCGTTGTATTCCGACTTTAGTAAATACTCGTGACTTGTGACACCCCGATGTCGGGCTTGTGTATTTATTCAGCACTGTTCATTTAGAATTACATTATGAGATATTTGATTAATTAAAGGCTTAAAAAATAATTTTTATTGATAAATGGTTAATTCGGGAGCTGTGTCGGATGGCCTAGTTTCACGATAGGCGCCATCACGACCGAGTCGATTTTAGGGTCGTGACAGTGCCGAATAATCCAAAAACTAGTCAAAAGTTGTACAAACTAATCAATAATTGCCCAGAAGTTCATAATTTAACTATTAGAGTAATTACTCAACCCAATTTAGAAGGTTCCTAAAATTTACCCTGGGTTCATTTGGCCGAATTTCGATTTTTTTTTAAAAAATAATCGTTACCCATAGCCTCACGAACACAAATATATGGTTTCTACCCAACCCCATAATCTTTTTCATGGTCAAATCTAATTTTTATCAAATCCTAGGTTTTTCAACAAACTCCTAAAATTTTCATATTTTTACATGTTAAAATCTACACATAATCTATGTATTTAACTTACATTGTATAAAAATCACTTACCTTCGATATACAGGTGAAAACCTCTCTCCAAGAAACTCCAAATTCGGCCAAGGGAAATGAAAATGAGAGATAATGGTCTAGGTCCCGATTTTATTAAATGGCAAAAGGCCAAATATATCGTTGTACTATGCTAAAAGATTTAAATATACCATTCGTTATACTTTGAGTCTAAATATACCCCTGTCGTAATACTTATATTTATAGATCAAGATAATTAGCTAATCAAAAAAGATGTCAACGAAATATTACCATATGTATAAGTTAATTCTATGTTATTATCTATTTATGCGTTACTAATTTTATAACTTTATATATCAACTAGTATTTATTTTAGTAGTCTACAATATGAAGCACGATATCTTTCGATTTAAATACAAAAGATACAAATAGTATCACTGTCCTCTTGAACACCGGCAATTTTATTTTAATTGATCCCGTTAATTTTATATGTATAGGACAAAAATAATTGTACACCTCATCTGATAGACGGAAGAAAAGAAATTGAACATGAAAAATTATGACAAACATGTACATTTGAAAAACAAGTAAAGCTACCAAAATTATTTATTATCCATAAAATTATGCTTTTGCCACAAGTACAAACATAATAAATTTGACTAGAAACAAACGAAAATCAATTCCAAAATAAGATATATTTGATAAAGAACGTCGATAGCACTACAAAGTCAAAGACCATTAAGGTGAGGTCAATTTTGTCTAAAAAGTAAAATAAAATAAGATATACATATACATATAATATATTCGTATATATTACATTATTTTTTAAAAGAACATTTACAATAAAGAAATACCTCTTTCTTGCCAAATTAAACTTTGATTTGTCATTTTCGTAGATTCAGATAATATTTAATATTTAACCTCGAAAATTAAGTCACCAACTATCCATATTAATCATCCACAAACACTTACACTTTATTTTTCATGCATAATTACTTACTTAAAACTTTAAGTTAATAACATTAATATTATTTTACTACATTGTGTACCACAAAATAACATACACGTGCAATGCATGTGCGGAGAGATTACTTTTAATAAAAAAAATTAGTAACATAACCAGTTTGACTCCTCAATTAATTATTTGGTTAAGTTTTCTTATAACTTTTAAAGTATCATGATCCGTATCTTGTTGAGTTTCGTTTAACATCTTGATTCTTGAGTTTTGCTTGAGTGGTTACGGAAGATTGGTAATTGAAGTAATTGTCTGAAAAACACAAAAATCTGAAAAGAAAAATAGATAAAAAAAAGTACAGTATAAGGGAAAGACAAAGAAAATATTGGCGTTCTCTTCGGGGAAAAGAAATCTCAATGGAGTTAGTCTTCAAAGGGAAGACAACGTGCTGCTCCTCCACTTTGATTAAAATAATTTTTTTTATTATGACTTCCCCACACAATGTATGAAGTAGTCATGAACTTACTAATTTTTTTTTTTATATATATATATATATATATATATAAATCATAAGATTCGTAACTACTAAAATTTTAAGTTGTATTTAAGTATTTGTACCTCATATTTTATGTTTTTTTCCCCATCAATTGTTCACTTACCATAAGGTTTTTATGGTACGTTTTCAAATCTAAATTGTATCTGTTATTTTCTTCTCTTAAAAAAAGTAAATATTATATAAATTAACTTTGCACACCGTTTTATCGCAGCAAAAGTTTTCATATCGTACCTTTGGGGTATCAAATATCAATAATTTGATTTGACAGATTATTTTGAAATTAAACCTTATTTTCTTGATTATCCTATTGTGCAAAGGTAAAATTAAACTTTTTGATCTGTCTCAATTTTTTTAATATTTGTATGATTAGGTTAATTTTCGGTAGTTTATTTTTAAAATATCTTGTAAGAGTAACTGTTATTTTTAATGTAATATATAAAGTGTAAATTGTACAATTTAAATAAGTTTAATATTTTTATTAAACAAAAATTTTACATGTAAGAGTTTAAATGAGTTCCAACTTTTGGTAGACGTTTGGACATAAAAATTATAATTTTTGAAAATTAGTAGTAGTATTTTAAGATTAGTTGAAAAATGGTATTTGAAATTATGTTTGAAGATATATTTTATTTGAAATATTGCAGTTTTGTGAGTGAGGAAAAATGTATTTCTAAAAATTTTAAAAAAGCGATAAAAACTTTTTTTTGGTTTTTGAAAATTCATTTTCGGAAATTTTTTAAAAACTTGCAAAATTTTATATTTAAAAAAAAAATTTCGAGAATTTTTTTTTTTTTTTTTTTGGACAAACGGGTTTACTATTTTCAAAAGTGAGTATTTTTACACTATCGTTTCTGAGTGCTAGAACTAACACTGGTCTCTGAATTGTTTATAATTCCTAGGAGTAAATACAAAGTGGAGCTGTAGGAGAATTGCACCTCCTCCTTAAATTGCTGTACCTTCTCCAGATCTAACAAGACCAAATACGCAAACACAGCGTTAGTTCAAGAGTTTCGCTCCTTCAACAAAAACATAAGAGCAGAGCCCCACAGTTCAAGAGTTTCGCTCCTTCAATGCAATAACTTTCTGCTAATTCTGAAAGATATTTACCACATTTTGTCTCTCAGATCAAATGGCTGTTCCGATTGAAGAAGCTATAGCTGCACTATCCACATTTTCTTTAGAGGTTAGTTTTTTTAACGTAATTATTATGAAAATTAGATTCATACTCAGGAAATGAACTTTATATATACGTTTGTTTTTTTCATTGATGATTTTCTCGTTAAAATTATAATATTAGGATGATCAAGCAGAGGTACAAGGTCCAGGGTTTTGGGTTTCAGCTGAAGGAGGTGCAACTATTAGTCCAATTGGTAACACATATTTTTCTTTTAGGTCTTCAGTACTGATTCAGAAGTTTTTTTTTTCTTATTTATTTTTGTTGTTGGTAATGTTATTATTATGATTATTATCATTTACATTTTTCCTGAATGTTTTCATTAAGGATGTTCCCTTTTGAGGTCTTCCTTTCTGTAATTATAAATTACTTTGCCTTCAATATTTTGTTTTGTTAAATAAAATTGCCTTCAATATTGTTTAGATGTGCTGTCTTTTTTCTCATTTTTTTTGGTAATCGAGAAATCCTTGAGGACCAGTTGGGATCAAACTGGGTTTGTTTTTGTTGTTGCTTGAGGACCAGTGCCGCGAGGTTTGAAACTCTTGATGATGTTAAGTGGCAGAACTCCCACATCGGTGAAGTACCAATTTTTCACCCTATAAAAGAAAGCCAAATGTTTGGGATTTAAAGACACGTCTCATTGCCTTCTTATCTTCTTAAAGCATTTGTATCTTCTCTCTTTAGTATTATTTTACTTGTATTTTTGGAGTGGAATAAAATATTAGTTGTGTCCGAGTAAGTAGGCAAAATTGGCCGAACCTCATAAATTCTGGTGTTCCTTTTATTGTTGCTTTATTGTCTTATTTATTATTTTGTGGCTGTCACAATTTTTGGTATAGTAGTTGTGACTCATTCACACTATATACATTTGGCTTCCGCAACAATTGGTATTAGAGCCAAGGTATTGTCTAAGTATGCTCTGTGGTTGTAGCATAGCTGTTCTTCCACATCAGAAAAGATTTATCTTGGTTAACTGAGTTAAGGTTCTGTCTGAGTATGCTCTATGGTTGCAGCTTAGTCTGATCTTTCACACCAGAAAGGAAATAATCTTGATTTGTGTCGTCAGCTATTAAATAATATTTGTGTCAAAAATAGGAGACAATAAACAAAAGAATCTACATCAAGTGTCAATAATACGTCATCATTGGCATCTTCCCTTATGACAAGAATTGTGTCAAATGCGAAATTTGTGGTAGAAATTTTTGACGGGTCAGGACATTTTGGGATGTGGCAAGGCGAGGTTCTAGATGTCCTTTTTCAACAAGGGTTAGATCTTGCTATTGAAGAAAAGAGACCAAATGTTATTGGAGAGGAAGATTGGAGAATTNTGCAAAATATGGATGCAACTTTTGATGATGGTGACTTGGCCTTGATGTTGTTGGGGTCACTTCCTGATGAGTACGGGCACCTTGAAACTACTCTACTCCATGGGAACGACGAAATTTCTCTTAGAGAAGTTTGTTCGGCTTTGTACAGCTATAAACAAAGAAAGGGAGGAAAACAGAAGGGCGGAGAAGGAGAAACACTAGTTGTGAGGGGTCGTTCTCAAAATCAAACGAGGACAAGGAAGGGAAGATCCAAGTCAAGATCTAGACCCAGCAAAGATGAATGTGCCTTTTGTCGAGAAAAGGGGCACTGGAAGAAAGACTGTCCGAAGTTGAAGAATAAGGCCAAACATAAGAATGGAAAGACCATTATGGATTCAAATGTAGCTGATTGTGATGATTCAGACTTCTCATTAGTTACAACAGAGCCATCAACATCATCAAACATATGGTTGATGGACTAGGCTTGTAGCTATCATATGTGTCCTAACAGGGATTGGTTCGTGGATTTTCAAGAAGGAGAATATGGAGTCATCCACACAGCGGGCAACAACCCTCTTACCTCATATGGAATTGGTTCAATACGATTAAGTAACCATGATGGAATGATCAGAACATTGACAGATGTTCGATATGTACCGGATTTGAAGAAGAATCTCATCTCTGTGGGAGCCCTAGAATCAAAAGGGTTCAAAATCATTGCAGAAAATGGAGTGATGAGAGTATGTTCCGGTGCACTAGTGGTAATGAAGGCCAATCGGAAAAACAATAACATGTACCGTTATCACGGTAGTACAATTATTGGGACAACGACAGTGACATCCAGTGACGAAAAAGAGGCAGAAGCAACTAGGCTATGGCACATGCGCTTGGGACATGCTGGAGGAAAATCCTTGAAAACTCTATCAGATCAAGGATTGTTAAAAGGAGTAAAGGCTTGCAACTTGGAGTTTTGTGAGCATTGTGTCAAAGGGAAACAGACAAGGGTTAAATTTGGTACAGCGATCCATAATACTAAAGGCATTTTGGATTATGTACACTCTGATGTTTGGGGTCCTTCCAAAACACCTTCATTGGGTGGGAAGCACTATTTTGTAACCTTTGTTGATGATTTTTCCCGAAGAGTATGGGTGTATACAATGAAGAGCAAAGATGAAGTGTTGGGAATTTTTCTCAAATGGAAAATGATGGTGGAGAATCAAACAGGCAAGAGGATCAAGTGTATTCACACAGACAATGGAGATGAATACAAAAATGATCATTTTAATAAGGTCTGTGAAAATAATGGCATTGTCCGACACTTCACTGTCAGACATACACCACAACAGAATGGAGTGGCAGAGCGTATGAACCANGATTACTTCTGGAGTCAAAGAATATCGCTTATGGTGTCCTATGACAAAGAAAGTAATATTCAGCGGAGATGTTACCTTTGATGAATCTGCTATGGTAAATAAGGTAGCAGAAGATACCAAACAAAATGAGGGTGTTTCTAAGCAGGTGGAGTTCGAGGGAAAATTTATTTTTCCTACACAAGAAGTAGAGGAGGAAACAAATGAAGATTATCCTCTGGAAGAAGAGCCAGTAGAGAGGGAGATTCCAACTCAGGAACCTCAACAATACCTCGAATCAATAGCAACCAGCAGACCAAAAAGGACAATAACAAAACCTGTTCGTCTTATAGAGACGGTTGCTTGTGCCGCCTCAATTGTAGCTGATGATGTTCCTACCACTTATAAAGACGCAGTCCAAAGTTCAGAAGAAGATAAGTGGACGATTGCCATGAATGATGAAATACAGTCTNGAATGATGAAATACAGTCCCTTCATCAGAATCATACATGGAGATTGGCCAATCTCCCGAAGGGAAAGAAAGCAATTGGGTGCAAATGGGTATTTGCAAAGAAGGAAGGATTTCCTAACCAAGTAGATGTTCGCTACAAAGCAAGATTGGTGGCCAAAGGATATGCTCAAAAAGAGGGAATTGATTACAGTGAAGTGTTTTATCCGGTTGTAAAACATTTCTCCATTAGAATTATGTTGGCTTTGGTAGCACAGTTGGATTGGGAACTAGTTCAGATGGATGTAAAAACTGTGTTTTACATGGAAACTTA